CTGCAGTGTTGTGGCTGGGTTTGGTTCTTGTTTCCTTTCACATTGAGTCTCTGCTGTAAGAGATGTTATTTTCTGCAAGAAGGATACCTGGCACTTAGTGTTCTTTTTCCTCAGCATGTGCTCTGGTTTGGTTTAAATCGGATTGCGTGATAAATAGGGGTGAGTGAGGGGCATTTGGAGTATATAATACTGATTTAATATTACTCAAACTTACTTGTGAAGATATTTATACGTCTTTAATTTCTTTAGTGCTTTTTTTTTCTTCACTTGTTAGATTGCCTTTATTAAATTAGGAGGGGTTTTATTATACTCTTCAAAAACGTTTAGTGTTATGGTGTTGGTAGGTGTTTCTATATACAGCCCTTTTCAAGAAAAGCAGGAAGTACTGAATCTCCCCACCTCAAAAAAATCGCTACTATTATTTGAATAATTTTTTAATCATTAAATTGAAGTTAACACAAATGAGTAGGAAAAAAATGGCAAGTCATAATTCATCTTATTTTATTAAATTATCTTCCGTTGAACTTCTCATCTTTGGCATCTGCAGCACCTTCCAGAGTGGGGTCGCTACAGTTTGCACTTGTATTTGTACTAGCATTTGTGGGAATTCTTTTTCCTTAAAAACTCTGGAGCAGCTCGTGCAAGTGTTACTATTCCAGACTAGACAGGGTATGAATTTTTAATGTTGACTAAATCAACAACAAAACTGTTTTCTGCTGTTAAATTTTCTATGGCAGAAGCCTGATGTAGGAGACTGAGACTATATTTAGTGACCACTTCATGGTCCAAATTATTATTACCGTATTATTACTGTATTTGTAGATAAACTTTCAGGCAGCTCTTCTGGCCTAACCCCCCATTTCAAGTGTGGCCTCACATCAGCACCCGTGCTGACATTCTTCAGGCTGGGAGATGCCCATCACTGCAGGTCAGCCCCTTTGGTGTAACGACCAACCGTGAGTGGCACACCCGGGCTTAGGCAGCGCTGAGGTGTTGTCTGCTTTGGGGAGGAGTGGAAGGACGTGTGTGGGCAGGACAGGGTGAAGCAAAACAGGTAGTCAGTGTGGAGAAGATTTGGTTTTATCTGAGGCTCCTCCTTAGAGCACATTTGATTTGAGTTTGTTGATCTTCTGGTAGCGGAAGACTGACACATGGCTGAGTTTTATTTGGCAGGTGGAAACCTGAGTCAGCTCATCCGTTAGCGGTTTTTAGGTGGTTCCAGTCAAGGTGATTTTGGTGTTTTAACCGTGTGGCCCATAACTCAGACTTGTCTCAGCAGAGGATTCGGTTGAGTTTTGAATCCTCTTGTGCATCCTCCTGTGGGGGAACAGAGGCTGGCAAAAGTAGGACCTCATTCTGCAAAGTCTTTAGATTTCCTCTTCAATGTTGGCACAAAGTTCCCTGCTGAAATCCCAAGCCTTTCTGGTCTTTTGTCATGCTGCAAACTGTGATGAATGTAACACTTGTAGAAATTGTTGAGGATTAAATGTGTAAATCCTTCACCTGTTTACTCAGATATGCCCACTTTGAAGCCACAAGGAAGACGATAAATCCACAAGCTTGCTTCCAGTTTTTGTCTGTGCTTCAGTGGTTTTGAATCAGTTCCCTGAGACAGGTGATTAGTGAGGCCCATGGCAGGGGAGGAGAGATGGGACTTCACCTGGGCCAGGCCATACTCACTCGCACCAAGAGAGGGGATCTCTGGCTGCCAAGGCAGTCATCAAAGACCTTGTGGTAGTTTGCTACCAGCATCGCTGCCTGATCAGTTATTGTGCTCCCTTGCAGATGATCTGTTTCGGTAAACTGCTTCCCTTCAACACTGTTAAGCAATGACAGAGCTGATATTTGGAGCTTCCCTTGTGAAATATTTCAGGATTCTGTTCCTTTAATTATGGTGTGGGTTGTTTTGGGTTTTGTTTTTGTTTTCTTAACCTTCTCCAGACATGATCACTGTATTTAGTCCTGTGAATCTGAATTGGTGATATTTGCCTTCACTGGGCTTTCTTGTACAGCTTTTAAGTTCACATCAGGATCTCGGAGTTTCTCGATAATGTGATGAAACCAAGGAGCTTTGTGTGTTGCAGGGGAGAGGGTACAGCATGAGGAAGATGGGCCCATCCATCTGGTTCTGTTTGGAAGGCTTTGTGGAAATAATTAAAGGCAATAATTATCTTTGTGTATTTGCATGCATGAGACGAAGAGAGAAAGGGAATTGTGCAGGTGTAGTTGAGCTGGTGTACGGTTATCTTGTGGGCAGCTCATAGGACTGAGCTGTGCTGAATTGCGAGTTCCCAAGTCAAGCAAGCAGCAGCTGTGCAGAGGGCAATCATTAAAAATAATCTTCTGCAACTTCTCATTTATGCAGTCAATAAGAATTTAACTTGAGAGTGAGAAGTGAGTTTTTGTTGTAGTTGTAATGCTGATTGTCCCAAATGTGCATATGTAAGAACAGAATTTTGGTTAAGGAGTAGTTAGGGGGTTTTGTTATTACCTCTGCCCTGTGTATATACACAAAAGTAAATCTTTACCGTGTTGTTCTTTCTTCTTGGAATGATGGAAACAGCTTTGTTCTGTAACAGTGAGTACAGCGGCTGTCAGACACCGTAAATTACTGTGTAGACCAAGTACTGAATTATACATACACAAATAACTGCATCAATAAAAGGATTTCTTCAGATTCATTCTGAGTTTTGGATACTGGCCCATTTTTATCCTTTCATCCAGTTTATGGGTTAGAACAGCAATTAAAGCAGCTTAAAGTCAGTAGAGGTGCTTTTAACATTAAAAGCGTTAATTGTACAAGACTGAGTTCGGTCTCCACCTCCGGTTGCTCCTCTCCCCAGAGTCTAGTTTAATTAGCAGTTCCTCTAGGATAACAGCAAGCTCCATTTTCTTCTTGAGTTCTAATGGCCTATACTTCCTTCAGCAGGACATCAGAGTTTGTTCACCATCAGTCAGTGCTTAAAATGAAAGTTTTTAAGAATCATTTTGTAGCAATTAAAACTACTTTGACTGAGGTAACTACAGTGCTGCCATAGCTAATCTGTCCAGGAGAAGACAGTAAGGGAGAAAGCTACTGCTGTTTAAAAGAAAAACCAAAACCAGAACCAAACCCGAGCAAAACCAACAACGAACAAAAATATACATGCAAGAAGTCAGTTTATGTTAACATCTATTAAGAGTAGTATTGAGGGGAGGGAGGGTGAAGATCAAAAATCTTCTAGACTTGAGGTTTAAAACAATGGGATTAATTGGGTTTTAGATTCAGCTCCCCAGCGAGTCACCTCAGCTCTTCGTACTTCTCAGCCGGGTTAGGGGGCTGGTGCGAGCCTTTGAGGCAAATCACAGAATCCCAGACCGTTAGGGATTGGAAGGGACCTCCAAAGCTCATCCAGTCCAATCCCCCTGCCGGAGCAGGAACACCCAGATGAGGTTACACAGGAAGGCGTCCAGGCGGGTTTTGAATGTCTGCAGAGAAGGAGACTCCACAACCTCTCTGGGCAGCCTGGGCCGGTGCTCTGTCCCCCTCACTGAGAAGAAGTTTCTTCTCCAATTGAAGTGGAACCTCCTGTGTTCCAGTTTGTGTCCGTTACCCCTTGTCCTATCATTGTTTGTCACCGAGAAGAGCCTGGCTCCATCCTCGTGACACTTGCCCTTTAAATATTTATAACCATGAATGTGAGGTCTCCCCTCAGTCTCCTCTTCTGCAAACTAAAGAGCCCCAGCTCCCTCAGCCACTCCTCATAAGGGAGATGCTCCACTCCCTCCATCATCTTTGTAGCCTGAGAGAAGATGGGTGGCAGAATTGGAAGTGTTTGTGCGAGTCCATTATTTTTAGGTGCGAGTCGCCTTATTGCTCTGAGTGCAAGTTTCAGATTTCCTTTTGTACTTCTCCTAAGGACTTCAGTATTCTCTCGTAGATGGGTGCACCACATGTGCACTGATGCTTCCCTGCACAAACCGTGCATGTTCGGGAGGATGAAGGATGTCCCTTTGAATAGGGGATCAAGTATGTCAGTGAATCTCAGAAACAAATTCTGAAGTTGTAAATGCCTTTTGATACAAATCTCGCAGAGATATTCTTTCTTTAGCAGTTAGCTGTAGGGAGTGAGTGGAGTGGAGTGGGGTTTTTTTAAAGGTTAGAGATTACAGTTGCAGTGGTGGTTGTTGAAAAAATGTCAAATACTGCTTTATTTTTTTAAAGGAATATGGACATTTGTAGTGTGAGAATGTACTCTGTTAGAGTATTTTCAACTGTGTTTATTGTCACTTTGCCCTTTGTGTGAGCTAGGACAAGTAATATCTAAACCAGGTATGTTAGCTGGTTGTGACTGACCTTACTGCAGTGAGGTGAATTCACACAGTTAATTATGGCACAACAAGATGGGTGCCATTTATTCTAGTGCTGTAAATGATCTTATGCCATCCAGGTTAGCTGCTGATTTGGAGAGGAAAGCTCAGAGTACTGGACTTGTTTTGGAAGTCCAGCAAATTACTGTGGTGTTATAAGTTGGACCTGGATCTCTTGCCTATCAGCCTCTTACCTGAATTCTGAGTGATTCTGTACAAGCTAGACGTCTATTACATGCGTGAATTCAGGACTTAGGTTTCCCATCATCTACACACGTTATTATGTGTACTGATGAGTTCAGTGTGCTTGTGTGAGCATCAACATGGAAATACAGGAACTTCTCAGAGTTGCTGAGAAGTGTTTATGGTCTCTGTGCAGGCCTTGAATGCATTTAATTAGAGTTTTGGTCTGTTGCAGAAGTAGCAGCATTAATGAAGCTCGCTGTTTCCTGCTAAATGTAATCCAGCTCTACCATAATTGTTTTGCTAAGTGACCAAAATGAAGGCAATCTGTTTGATGGCTGGCAGTTCCTGTCATCATTTCATCGCTAGCCAAACCAATACTGTGCTGTGGTCCCGTCACTGCTGAGTACTCAGCTATGGCTAATTTTCAAGTTACTACAAATAAATTATTTGAAAGTGTAAATATGCTGCCCCTAATGATGTTTGTGATATTAAAAGCTTTGCTCATAGCTGACATCTCCATACTGACTCAGAGGGTACAGAGTGTTTAAATGTGCTTTTTATTTTTTCCCTTTCTTTCTCTTGGGACTGTTGCTTCTTCCAGGGGCTACGATGACCCCATCGAGACAGAGATGGTTGAAGAGAGGATACCTTACCTTCATGGTGGCTACGCAGCACCGCTGGCACAGCCAGAGAGAGGAAGCATGGCTAGCATTGACCGTCTGGGGAAGCGCTCCCCCTCTATTGACAGCATTCGTAAGGACCCCAGGTGGAGGGACCCTGACCTCCCTGAAGTAATTGCCATGCTCAGCCACCCTATCGATCCAGTCAAGTCTAACGCCGCAGCCTACTTGCAGCACTTGTGCTACGAGAATGATAAAATCAAAAAGGACGTGAGGCATCTTAAAGGGATACCGATCTTGGTGGGCCTGCTTGATCATCCAAAGCCAGAGGTCCATCGTAAAGCCTGTGGGGCTCTCAGAAACATCTCCTATGGCAAGGATAATGAAAACAAGGTGGCTATAAAGAACTGTGATGGGATCCCTGCATTGATCAGACTGTTGCGAAAAACAAACGACATGGAAGTCAGAGAGCTAATTACAGGTCAGTGTCTGTGGTTTCTTTAATGAATTACTCTTTAGAGCAGTCTTTCCAGCTTCAGGACAGGAACAAGAGTTTCTGGACACTAGAACACTGAGGAAGAATTTAGATCCCTGGCTGCAGCTGTTTGTTTAGATGCATAATGTTTGTGGTGTGAGAAAGCCTAAGGCGAGCGTGCTCTTCAGGAGGAAATCGAGATCATCTGTGTATGCAGCACACTCTGGTTTCCCTGACTGTTGAGAGATGGATGGTGCTTCTTGGATGTAGCATGCAGTTGTATGTGCTTGAGTTACTGAAGCTTAAATGAGTTATAGCAACTTCATTGACAGGTAATTTGTAGTGTGCTTGCCCTCAGCATGTTACAATCATGAGGTAAGATACGCTAATCTAAATCTTTCCTTGTTAATCTCTTATAAAACAATCCTGCTGCCGTGTCCCCACTACGTCATATTGATAGACCAGTCAGTCTCCTCAGGAACACTTTCAGCCCCTGGTGCTGGGGGCTCTGAGGCTGTATATGAAGTTGCAGCACTTCTGGGCTAGAAAACTTGGATTTTAAGGAATGTAGAGGCCCCTGTTGAGATGCTCTGGACATGGGATTTGCTTGTTGCAATAATCGGAAAAGGGAGAATTACCTTTTGAAGTTACTGAGTTCGTGCACACTTTGCAGGGAGTTTTCAGTCACTTATTCCATTATTCAACTTGTTTTTTGTTTGAACTTAGTCTTGGACATCGTCCAAAAAGAGTAATAAAGTGTATGCCAAGTTTCAGAGTGTGTCCATTAAGTGGAAAAGGGTGGAAAAGTATGTCAGGTCTTAAACTAAGGAGAAATATATTGTTCTTCAGTCTCCTGTAACTCATGAGGAGTGATACGGATTTCCCTTTCTCTTCTCAGAAACAGCAGAGGATGTTTGGATGGAGACCAGGGCAGTTGCAATGCATTTCAGTGCCAGAACAGAGTTTTTCAGAAAGCTCCTGAGTGTGAAAATAGGTCCAGGGCTGAAAGCATTGAGCTACCTTATGGGTGTTGGATTCTCCAGGCAGACCTATGGCAAACATGGATTAAGCCATTAGAAGTGAATATCATAATTCTTGAATAGCCTCAAAAATTACAGCAGCTCTCCAAGTTTTACTTGTAATCATAATTTTCTGAGATGAACAGTGGCCTTGGATGTTCCAACTGTTCTTCCCCTGCCATTATAGGATATTTAGGAAACCAATTCTAAATATACAGTGGAGAGACTAGCAGGGGTTTTTTCCAGTCCTTTTCCAGTGAGCTGATAGAGGAGAGCTGTCAGTTTTGTCAGAAGAACCTCTAAGTAGCACGTGTTGCTTGTGCTTTGATTGCTGTCTGTGCTTTGTCTCTTAACATGGAAACTCTGTAGGTGGTATTTATATTCCATTTGTAGCACTGATTTAGTATGATGGCTGACTTAAATTTGTTATTATTTTTAAATAAAGAATATCTGTTTATCTGCTGTTCTAGTTTACTCAAAACTCATTTCTGGAGTGCTGAGAAGGAATGAATTTCTTTCTTTAGAGTCAAGAAAGAAGCCAGTCTATAATTTACTGTGAAGGAATACCATTATAATGCTAAGTGGTAATCAGTCACTATTGAGATGGCAGAAACAAACTGCACGTTTTCCCTTTTTGCTCTAAATGGCGATTGCTTTGATTTCCAGTTGATTAATTAGTTTTGGAGTTCAAATGCATTTTATTTGACAGTAGCTCCTGCTAATTCAATGTAGTATTTTTATTCCACTTTGGTTTTTGCTATTTAAAGTTCTTTATTTCCCCTCGCTGAGAAACACCAGCAATACTGAGGGCATTAACCTAAACAGATGTCCAGCGACATCTGATGTCCATTTAATCTCCACCTAACCAGGGATAATTTCATTCCACTTCTAAAATGGTATCACCAGTTCCGGTGTGAAACGTTCCAGCATCAATGTAGAAGAGAGGAGTTATTCCAGCAATGCCTCTGTGGCCGGTGCTGCTGCACTTGCAGCCGGTGTTCAAAGCCTCGGCTGATGATGTGGAACTGTCCTTTTGAAAAACGAGCTCCAAAAGTCAGCAGAGAAGAACAAGAGCCGACTGGAAGTGCAACTGGAGCATTCAGCCAGGATTGCTGCAAAAGGACTGCGTTTTGCAGCCTCAAAAATTCAGATTACAGCTGACGTTCTCGTGGTAGAAATCTTGACTTCTTGTCTGGGTACTTTTCTCCAGTGAGAACCCAGAGCCTACCTTTGCCATGAGAGTTTTTCATTCTGTCTGCAGTGAAATCTCTGGGGACTTCTTCAGCAAGGCAAAAAATGGAAGAAAAAGACAATAGCATGCAGGGTTTTCTTGTTTATTTCTTTGAACAGGCGGCAAATTTTTTTGGACCTTTTTTCTGTTTTGATATTTCTTTAACTCGATACTGGCTGCTATTCGAAGACTGAATGGTAACCATCAGCTGGTTTTCCCAGATGTGGATGAATGATAAAATAATCCTGCTTTCCAAAGAGATTTAAATAATCTAAATAAATTTAAATAGTTCAGATGTCTGAATTCAACAGCGCTTCCAGTCTTAAAGCTTTACTTCTCTGGGTGTGGGACCCTGCCTGCAGGACAGAAGGTAGATGAGAGCACACAATAAGACACATTATTTGCGGCTGGAGAGAATGCTTTCTGGCAAAAGAGAGCATCGTTCTTGTCTAATTTGAGTGTCAGTCCTTGGCTTTAGTACAGCTCCATGGCCTCTCATTAACGTGGTGATCTGACACAGCAGCCACAGCTGTCCAGAACAGTGGGAACCAGGGCAGCCAGCTGGTCTGGTCAGTGGGCTAATGGAGAGGGGAAAACAGCCACACCAGTATGTTCAAAACACCTAAGAGGGAGGTGAGGTGGCCGGGGAGCGTGAGGGAGGAATGGGACGTGTGAGGCTCGATGTGTCCGAAGTGTGTGCGCTTGACTGCATCCCAGAATACTGACATGCAGCTTTGGGAGCAAGCTGGTTATACTGACACAACACCACTGCCAGATCGGACACGTCTGTAGCTTTTTGTCTTTCAGGTAGCACTGGTTTTAGCAGAATTTGAGAACTTTTTTCCTGGGTTAGCGGCGTGTCTGTTTTACCAGATGTTCTTGATATATCTGCAAATGGCACTAAAACATGATGTCCCTCTGGGTATGACAGAGACATGAGGCTTGTAAAAATACCTTCAGAACTGAAGATACAATCGTAAAATACCACGGATCTCACTTTTATTGAAGTTTGGAGTTACAAAGTGTCTCCCATCTACTGCCCTGAGAAAAGTTTGATTTAACTGTTAGATGACTTTAGCTGTTAGATAAGTAAATAATGAGTAGAGTTGTGATGAGAAATATTCCACACAATTCTCCCTCGCATCTCTTTCTAGTCATGGAACTGTACGACTGAATTTCAGTGTGTAATTTTCTTGAAAAATGGAGAGAAATGAGGATTGAGGTGATAAGGAAGTAAATCTGTTCTGATTGGGAAAGCTGCAAAAGTTTTATCTTGAGTGATAAGGGGTTTTCTTGTGGAGGAAATGTTCCCATCAGATATGCAAGACCAAAATTCAATTACATTCTTTGAAAAGCAATCAGAAGTTGGTAGCTTTAATGAATAATTTTGTTCTTTTTGAGAACGTTGAAAGTAATTTTGTTGTTTAATGACATTGCACTGATTTTTAAGTGGTGCAGAACATGATTTTCCCGACGCTCTGTGTTGCCAAACCGGTTTTAATTGAAAAATGATTGACCTTCAGAATGTTCTGCAGAAGAAATATTTTTATCTGGTACTATAATAGAAACTTGCAGATTGATCAACTTGCTCAGAATTCACGCCTTCCGGGCGTTTATGTATGCTGATCCTGTCAGCAGATGAGACACTAACTTCTCTTTGAAGTGCCGTGCTGTCCTGAACTTTCTGATTACAGATGGCTTATCCCTCCCCTTTTCTATTAGAAAGCTCTTCAGAAGAAGGTCCCTTTTCATGCTGTATTCTGTGACACGGTAGTTGATGTTGAGGTTCACAACTCGACCACTATTTAACTTGAAGAAGCACATCTCCAGTCTTCAGGAGTTAGTGATACAAGCAAGTCTGTCAAACAGACGCGTGCAGGACCAACACGCAACAAGAAGTCCTTGATGCAGAGCACTCTATTTTCCCAAATGCTGAGTGATTTGGTGTGGACCATAGATAAAGAGTTAAACAGCTTCTTCATCTTATTTCTTGGTGACAGTGGATTTTTGCAAGTAAGCAAGCACAGCAGGAAGAGATTTCCCTGGCACGTATATGTTCTGCCGCAGTTTCTTTAGAAATATTTTCACACTTTGTGAAATTCAAGGAGGTGGAGATTTAGGAAATTATGACTGTGGCTCTAATCACTTTTAATATGCATAAATCATACAGCTGTATTTATAGCATATATACGTGTGTGTGTGTGTGTGTGTGTATTTTTGTGATGATCAGTACTTTATTGGTATGTTCTATGAAACATTTGAGAGATGGGAGGTGGGTGAGAAATTGAAAAGCTTGTGAACTTACTTTTCTTCAAAGAGGATGGAGGAAAGGCATTCTGTTTGATTTCAGTCCGTGTTGTCTGGTACCCACTCAGCGAGACTGACAGCCAAAATGTGTTTGCCCTAAATGATCTATTGTATGAATTGCATTCAGCAAAGGTTCTGGATGAGTATGTGCAAGAGATGCTTTTGTAGGGGCAGGTGGTTCTGCTGCTCTGAGTGTTGCAGTTGAATGCTGTTGAATCCCAGTTGGATTTAGTCTCTTGAAGTAACTACTGGTGAATGAGAATATAGGAGAAGAGGGAGTTTGGGGGTGATTATTACATTTCACACATTAGATTGAATATGTTGAAATCTAGACAAAAATCTGTAAGTCTTAAAGCAAGCAAAAGATTTGAGCACGGGTAAACTTCAGTACAATCCTGTAATACTTTTTGAAATTTTTTGCTGCAGATTTTGAAAATCTGCCTGATTTTTCTTAAGCAGTGAAATTTGCCTGTGTAGTTTCACTGTACAGATAACACGTTCTGTCATTCCTCCAGGAAAGGGGAAAAGGCAGAATTTCATTTCAGGAGCAAAAAAAAAAAATGTGCATTTAAGGAAAGAGCTTTTAAATACGAAGGGCTGTCAGATTTAAAACTTAGCTCTTCTGCATACAGATGATTTTAAATCTCCACATTGTTTCCAGTTGCAGTGTTTTGTAGTTTCAAAAGAACAGAAGTGCATGATCCTTACGACCACTGCACTGGGTCCCTCGGTTGATGCCATCTTTTCCTAACAGTGTTTTCTTGACCACTGCAAATACCGAATGCACCATTTGTGATCCTGTGAGGGAACCCTGTCATAACCCTCCAGAACCAGCGTGTTCTGCCCCCACTGTTTGCAGTTTCAATCTAGGTTTGCTCCAGAGATGATTATCCTCCGTAATTTCCTGGAATTTATCCATCTCGTTCAGGGCTGGATGTTCGGATTTTGCATTTGAATTTTGAAGTACTGAGCCAGCAATACATTTAGGGATTTAATTGTAATTATTATTTTTATATCAGTGGCTCAGATACGGTTAGGCAATTGGTGTGCAATAACTAAGGAAAGATCGTCTAGTGAAGTGTTAAAAATTAATTGGGTAGTTTATATGGCAGTTTTTATAGTCTTATTATAAATATTGACTTGCATTTTTATATTGCGTGATGTATGTTTTTGAACCAATTTGTTATGAGAAGTAAAAGCATTCTTCCACAGCCAAATGGAGCCAGTTAGTATTTTCTGCTTGGTTTTGCTGGTTTTTTTCTTATTGTCCATTGTTTGGTGTTTTGCAGTGACAAAGGGAGATTTATTGTAATGGGTACAGAGAAAATTAATTCATACTTCACCTATCCAGTCTTGTTTGAAAGCTAAAAAAGTAGGTTATAAGATTCTCATACAGTGTGTTGTCTGTGAACGGCAAGGGAAATAGGCCAAAAAAGCAGTATTTTTGTATGGTTTTAGAAAAAATACTGAAAGAAACAGTCTGGTGTTCAGTCTGCCTCAGAGTTTCTTTATTAATTAATGTGGTCTCCTAAGTCTGAGCAGATGCCTGGGTTTTGTAAAGAGCACTTTGAATAGGAAACACCGTGGCATTTGACTTCTGAGGCTCTGCTAATCATGAGCGTTTGGGGTTATCGAGGAGTGCCACTCACTACTCAGATGGAGGTGAAATTCCGTCCTGACCTGGTACCTGTCATGACCCCATGTGGATAATGCTGTGATATTAAAATCGGACTTTTGGCATTTGACGCATCTCCCTTGTAGCGGTGAAAGCTTGAGCGTGAAGGCGAGTTCGCACAAGACGGCTGGGGGTAGGTGTGGGGCGCTGGTGGCTCTCTGGAGCGCTGCCTCATTGCTCAGCTCGCTTCCGCGTGCGTTCTGTACGTTGGCAGAGTCCAGCAAGTCCATGTGTGCGTTCGACTGTGACACACGAGTAATAGATCCAAAAGCTTTTTCCAGTCTTTTGTCAAGGTTGAAAATGGTAGGTTTTAAAACGTGGAATGATTGAAAAGGACCAAAGCAAAGGGTTGCACATTTATTGTTCTTTAGTGGGTTTTTTTAGATATGTATACTCAGAGGTGAGGATCTACAACTTGCACTGTAATGTGCGCAAATGCACAGCTTTAGTAAGACAGGTTAATGCTGTATCTGGTTAGGAAAGATTCCCTGTGTGTTCTGGGGAATCTGGCTGTTCTGTTTGGTCTGCCTGAAGTTTTGCGTCTTCGCACTTTTGCTTGGAGATGAAAAACGTGCATCTGCCCCTCTCCAAGCATTGTTACGGGTAATTCTCAGATGTTACCAGGCTGAGCCTATGCAGCAATTATCTCTGAAGTGATTGTCCTGTTTTAGTCCTAGCCTAATGAGCAGTCACTGTCAGGACACTGATGCAGGTCAGCTGGGAAGTTGTATCGCTTACCTGACTGGGTATTTTTACAGCTGTAGGGCTGTTCTGATCTGTTGTTCTGATGTTTGACTTGTGTCTGCTTTGGCTCATAATTGAGGTAAAAATGGAAACAAAGACAAGTTTCGGTTTTTTACTTCTTCAAGGAATCAGATGCTTGTGGTACCAGGTGTGAACACAGGTACTGCCTGTGACAGGAAAATGTGAAAGTAAATAATAGAGAGGAGTCTTGAATGAAATATTGTCCTGTGCAGAGGATAAGCATAAGATCAATGATCCTCCATAAATTCATCCCTGTTTATAAGACTTGCTCAATGTACTTGTCTGTTGCACTGGATGAATTTTTACTTTTTGAGGCATAGCTCGACTTAAAAGTGTAACAAAATTTGTATATAGCAGAAAAATCCTAATAATCTCCAATAGCACATCACACTTCTGTACTCTGCTGTAGGACTTGATGACTTGAACAAAACCTGTCGTGATAAAAGTGCTTCCATGCTTTTGGAAATGTTTCTGTTGCAGTGACTGTAGATTTTCCTGAAGCTATGTGCTAGTGTGGCGTCTCATCGCGTGATTTCACTTTTTCATTTGGTTTTATGATTTCACCTTCTAGCGTTTCTATGTGAATCTAGCGATTCTATTTAATCTACAGTTTTGAAATAGTTAATATTCTCTTGTTATTTAATTGCCATTGTTTTTCTTCCAGGCACCCTGTGGAACCTGTCCTCCTATGAACCCCTGAAGATGGTCATCATCAACCATGGTCTGCAGACGCTTACCAACGAGGTGATTATACCCCATTCCGGTTGGGAGAGCGAGCCGAATGAGGACTCCAAACCTCGGGATGCTGAATGGACAACTGTCTTCAAGAACACTTCTGGTTGCTTACGGTAGGGCAGAACTGTGGAGTATTAACCTGTTGGCTACGTCCTGTGTTTAGTATTTCGTTAAAATTAATTTGATTTGAAATAAAATATCGTATATCTTCCATTTTTGTGGAGATATCCCCATTTCAGTGACCACTGTAGCAGTGCTTGGAGGTTGTTTGCTTGCCATGGACTCTCTTGTTGTAGGATTTATCAGTGTAGGTCTGACCAGTGGGGTCAGCATGAAGAGTAGGTCTTTTATCCAGATTAGGGAGGGTGGATCTATACAGGGCAGTGCATAATACAATGAGTGACCCAGGTAAGGTTAACTGCCAAGCTGAGTCCAAAAAGGAAGGCACACTTTCATTTGGCTGCTGTGCTGTGATCAGTGGGCTGTTTGTACGAATTCTGAGTACCTTCTCTGCTTTCCTTGATGGTGGTGTTTTTATTTGTTTGAAAATCGTTGCTTTCAAGCAACTTTCTTCTTGGTTTCAGGCATTTTTTTTGCAGATGCTGGGGTTTCATGGTATTTCATGGAATTGCACTGAGCCTGAAACATGCATCCAGTTTCAGCCACAAACAGTCTTGTAGACATACACCTATTTTAACCTTAAGTGACTAAGGACCTGTGGTAAATTAATTAAGAAGCTGAACTAGTGACCATTTTAGAATCTATTTCTAATATTCCTTGCAAAGGAATCTTTTCTGGTTAGAAATTGTATTTGAATTTCTGAGAGCACCTTGAGAGACCGCATCTGGAATATTGTGTTCAGTTCTGGGCCCCTCAGTTCAAGAAGGACAGGGAACTGCTGGAGAGAGTCCAGCGTAGGGCTACAAAGATGATGGAGGGAGTGGAGCATCTCCCTTCTGAGGAGCGGCTGAGGGAGCTGGGGCTCTTTAGTTTGCAGAAGAGGAGACTGAGGGGAGACCTCATTCATGTTTATAAATATTTAAAGGGTGAGTGTCACAAGGATGGACACTTAAATTTGAGAAGAAACTTCTTCTCAGTGAGGGTAACAGAGCCCTGGCCCAGGCTGCCCAGAGAGGTTGTGGAGTCTCCTTCTCTGCAGACATTCAAAACCCGCCTGGACGCCTTCCTGTGTAACCTCATCTGGGTGTTCCTGCTCCGGCAGGGGGATTGGACTGGGTGAGCTTTTGAGGTCCCTTCCAAGCCCTAACGGTCTGGGATTCTGTGAATACTGGCTTAGAAACCTGGGTCAGGAGAGGTCCTAATGCAGTCTGAAAAAGCTGAAGAACCAAAGTTCCTTAAACATACTCTCTTTAATTTTGCCTTTTACTTTTTGAGATAAAATAGTGCAGATGCTCTGTTAGATTCTTCAGCTTCGTGATGAAGTCAGTTACTTTGAACAAATAATAAAAATTTGGCATCACACCTTCTGTTGCTCTGAAGTATACTTCTGTCAGAGTTCTACTGATTAATGCACCTTCAGAAGCTGGTTCATTTCTGTTTCTTGGGCTTGTGGTCTCTAAATTGCAGTAACTGTTCCCCTGAGTAACTTCACAAATGAAGAAAGTAATGAAAAGTGTTCTGAAAGGGCCCATTACTGAAATTATTTGCAGTCCCACTGGAAGCTAAGGTCCTTTAAGTGGGCTGCAGACATCATAGGCTTTTATTTACTAGTGTCTCATTTTCTAATGGTCTTCTGCAAGAGGACGTTAGTCATGGTGGGGAATAAGAGGATTATCTGAATGAATATGAGATTCTCCAGTGAGTGTAGACAATAAATTGATCATTAGTAGACTGATCTAATCCACATCATAAATGTGTATTAGCATGTGCAGTGCCCTGATCCACTTGAACTTCCACTGCATTCCAGGATGGCTTTGGGGATTTTTGTTCTTGTTCGTTGGTTGTTGGGTTTTTTAATTTTGAAGGTATTGGTTTTACAGGACATGCAGAAGCTTGTGCCACTTTGGAAATTGTATTCTTAAGGCTAATGAAGAGGAGCGTGGAGCATAGCAGAACTGGGACACATTAGTTAGAGAATTTGATCTTTTGGCAATTAAAAGTGTTCCCAATGCACTTCAAATGCATCAGGGCAGCAGCCACTGAATGGTGGTGACTGCTTCCATTGTTCAAGGAGGGGAAAGTATTTGTCCTTTCATCTGTAGTCTCTGCTGCCATAGTCATGTAGGACTATGTGCTTCCTTGTTTTTGAACATTTGAAGCTTCAGTCAGATGTGGGGCAAAGAGATTTCATGCTTGACAGTAGTTGCTTAAGGTAAATGGAGACATGATGGCAGCTTAGCAGGGAAAGGTAATCTGCAGAAGGTAGTTTGTCCACGTCTCTCTGTTGTGCCATGGAGAGAACAAGCCCTTGCATAGGAAGAGGGGAGAACTGTTGCTGTCTCCTTCGTTCTTGAAGTGAGATGAAGTGAGTCCAGGACAACAGACAGAGCTGCAGCAGTGGGTGAGATACGAGATGTGTTTCAGTTGATCATACTTCTTGTTACAATGTCGGTGGTATCACATACCTTTTATAGAGCACTTCCAGATTTAGGGATAAAAATGGACATATCAAAAGAAATTAGCATACTTGTTGGAAAGTTAACACCAGCAGAGAACAAATTGTTGCAGCCATCTGTCGGACAGACATCAGTGTTTAAAAACCCCTTTGCCTACTCTTCTCTTGTTGACACAGTGGGTGATCCTAGAAATTCAGTTTTCCATGCAATTTCCATTGCAGACTACAAACTGTTTACCAATTTGGTATTTAATTGGGAGATTAGTGCTCCTGATGGCTTGCCAGCCTCCTCCGTCCTCTTTGGAAGTGAGCCTCAGGTGTGTGCTGCGTTGTCTTCCAGAACAACCGAGAGTAGCTTCAAACTTCTGAGATTTCACATGTCCTTGCAGTTTAGATACCTAAGCAAAAGACAGGCGTTATGCATGCAGGACAGCACTCATTTCAGTATCATTTTCTCAGTTAATGAAGTTTATCAACAGATGTGGGCGAGTTTGTTTCAAACTCAGCGATCCACAGTGTGAACTGCCAGTTAATTATTTGCCCTTTTTTTTTACACTGCTTTCTCATCTTCACTTTGTTCTTAATCTAGATCTCTCTTTTGATGACGTGGAAACACTTATTTAAAAAGAATTGAAAATAAGTAATTTAAACAAAAAACAGCAACAAATCAACAAACAAACCCCAAAAAACCCCAACCACTTCCTTGCCTTTACCTCTCCTTCACATCCTGATCCATCCCGTTTTCCTTTCCAGTCCTGTCCTGACAACAATACCCTTTCTCCCCCCTGTGTAATTCATCTCTCTCCCCCCTTCCTCTGAAAGTTCAGGTGCTGGTGTATGTCTCGGTCTGAGTAGGGCAGGGCGAGTTGTATATCCTACATGGTTAACTTGGCCTGCATGTGCGTAAGGGTGGTTTCACATGTTAGCAGTGCAGGTAAGCCTCGTGCTGCAGGTGTATGGAGGATGGAAGTTTGCTTTAGCAGGGGTCGGTAATTTGGGCCAATACCCTAGCAGACATCTGTACCTGCACCAGAGTTGCTTTTCCTGGGAATCAACTTTGCAAGGTCAGAGGCATGATCTGTGCACTCCTTTGCCCGTGACCCAAAGCTGAGGTAGGTTACTGGCTTTGTATAGCCCTGATTTCTGCCCACTTGCTGAAGTAACAAAAGTCCATCTGTGATGCTTGATGTTGATTTTTAGCCTGTATGGCCAGAGGACTTGTGCTCAGGAATGGATCTGTCCAAGCTGGTATTTGAGAAAGTCCTGTGCATTACACCGAGTGATGTTGAACTTGGTCATTTACAAGCTGGAAATCAGAGACACTGTCAAGTTTGTTGTCATGAAGAAAGCCACTCAAATTCTGTCTGTTCTGCCATGAGTTAAATTGCTCTGGGATTGCCTGTGATACTTAGCGATGTCCACAGCTAACTGACTGTGTACATAGCCAGTAAGAATCAAAGAAAGAAAAGGCAAACCTGGTTAATTGTTGTTTATTTTAAGGACTCCTTCTAAAGCCAAGCCTTCTCCCATGACTCTGGCTGTTGTGGGGATCTTTTGAATCCTGATATCATCTGGAACATAATGAGTGGGTTCTGTGTGCCATCGCGCTCTATACTTGACTTGCCAAAATCTCTCTTCAAATAAGTGTTTTGGGAATCCTGTATTCCCCTTTGCAAAATAAAGACTTGGCAGCGCAGCCGATTTGCAAACTATGATCTGATAATGAATTTTATTGCATGCTTTTTCTGTAGTCTTTACCAAAAACCACTGAAGTTTTCAGAAGCTACTGCAGGTGTTGATAATTTCATGTCCATTCTTGTCCTGAGATCAGGAAAAAGATGTTTCCTCTACATTGCTGTGTTTTGTTGCTAGGGGCAGACCCAATACGATGAATGGATCTGCAATATCGATAATAATTTTACTACATAAAATGGTCATGAGCCTTGTGATAGGTGCTACCTTGGGTGTAATTTTGTAAAATAAAGGTATTCTTATATTCCCTTGAACCTGTTGAGAGAAATAGGTATGGTGGAAATCTGGAAAGGAGCACTAAAAAACAAAGCAAAGATTTATTTATTGACATTAAATGGATTTATGCTTGTGGAAAGGTAGGACTGAGGAAGAAGTAAGAAAGACATTTGCTGGGAGAATTATTAAATATGCACAGATGCTCCTTTCTTCCATTTGGAGTACGCGTTTCATGTATTCACACTGTATTTTATTCTATTGGGTGTGTGGAGAATGTCTCTTCTAGTTATTATCTTATTTTTTTTCTTTAAACCTCTAAATCCCTACTGGAGTTTGCAATCCAGAAGCATTAGTTTTTAAATTGTACTTGCTTCCAATTTAAATAATGTCATGATTTGGGGCATCTTAATAAGACAGTTCTGTGATCCTTCCTACGACTTTGACCCAGACGTAAGGGGCTGTAGGAGAAGAGCACACGTTGAATTCATTGTGGGACTGATGGAGCGGAGGCAGCCTCAGATGCACCCGGGCAGTGCCAGAGACCTTCGCTGTGCCTCCGTGTTTCTCCTA